ATATATCTAAGCGGTTTTGGATAGAGAATTAAATTCTGAGTTCAGTGATATAATTATATTCAAAATTACGTTTAAGATGTTAGCCTTTCCCATATAAATGTCTTTCGCGATAAAATATTTATTTTGTGAACCGGAAACGTAAAAAAATACATCTAAGCGGTTTTGGATAGGAAATTAAATTCTGAGTTCAATATAATTATATTCAAAATTACGTTTAAGATGTTAACCTAACCCCTATAAATGTTTTTCGCTAAAAAATATTTATTTTGTGAAACGGAAACGTAAAAAAATACATCTAAGCGGTTTTGGATAGAGAATTAAATTCTGAGTTCAATGATATAATTATATTCAAAATTACGTTTAAGATGTTAGCCTTTCCCATATAAATGTCTTTCGTGACAAAAAATTTATTTTGTGAACCGGAAACGTATAAAAATACATCTAAGCGGTTTTGGATAGAGAATTAAATTCTGAGTTCAATGATATAAATATATTTAAAATTACCTTTAAGATGTTAGCCTTTCCTCTATAAATGTCTTTCGCGACAAAAAATTTATTTTGTGAACCGGAAACGTAAAAAATGCATGTAAACGGTTTTGGATAGAGAATTAAATTCTGAGTTCAATGATATAAATATATTCAAAATTACATTTCAGATGTTAGCCTTTCGTCTATAAATGATTTTCGCGACAAAAAATTTATTTTGTGAACCGGAAACGTAAAAAAATACATCTAAGCGGTTTTGGATAGAGAATTAAATTCTGAGTTCAATGATATAAATATATTCAAAATTACTTTTAAGATGTTAGCCATTCTCCTATAAATGTCTTTCGCCACATTGTCAACCGGAAACGTAAAAAATACATCTAAGCGGCTTTGGATAAAGAATTTAATTCTGAGTTCATTGATATAAATATATTTAAAATTACATTTCAGATGTTAGTCTGTCCCCTCTAAATGACTTTTGCGACAAAAAATATATTTTGTGAACCGGAAACGTAAAAAGATACATCTAAGCGGTTTTGGATAGAGAATTAAATTCTGAGTTCAATTATATAAATATATTTAAAATTACGTTTAAGATGTTAGCCTTTCCCCTATAAATGTCTTTCGCGACAAAATATTTATTTTGTGAACCGGAAACGTAAAAAAATACATCTAAACGGTTTTGGATAGAGAATTAAATTCTGAGTTCAATGATATAAATATATTCAAAACATTTCAGATGTTAGCCTTTCGTCCATAAATGACTTTCGCGACAAAAAATTTATTTTGTGAACCGGAAACGTAAAAAAATATATCTAAGCGGTTTTATTATAGAGAATTAAATTATGAGTTCATTGATATAAATATATTCAAAATTACATTTCAGATATTAGCCTTTCGTCTATAGATGACTTTGGCGACAAGAAATATATTTTGTGAACCGGAAACGTAAAAAAATACATCTAAGCGGTTTTGGATAGAGAATTAAATTCTGAGTTCAATGATATAAATATATTCAAAATTACTTTTAAGATGTTAGCCATTCTCCTATAAATGTCTTTCGCCACATTGTCAACCGGAAACGTAAAAAATACATCTAAGCGGTTTTGGATAGAGAATTAAATTCTGAGTTCAATGATCTAAATATATTCAAAATTACATTTCAGATGTTAGCCTTTCGTCTATAAATGATTTTCGCGACAAAAAATTTATTTTGTGAACCGGAAACGTAAAAAAATACATCTAAGCAGTTTTGGATAGAGAATTAAATTCTGAGTTCAATGATATAATTATAATCAAAATTACGTTGTTAGCCTTTCCCGTATAAATGTCTTTCCCGACAAAAAATTTATTTTGTGAACCGGAAACGTAAAAAAATACATCTAAGCGGTGTTGGATAGGAAATTAAATTCTGAGTTTAATATAATTATATTCAAAATTACGTTTAAGATGTTAACCTTTCCCCTATAAATGTCTTTTGCGACAAAAATATATTTTGTGAACCGGAAACGTAAAAAAATACATCTAAGTGGTTAAATTCTGAGTTTAATGATATAATTATATTCAAAATTACGTTTAAGATGTTAGCCTATCCCATATAAATGTCTTTCGCGATAAAATATTTTATTTGTGAACCGGAAACGTAAAAAAATACATCTAAGCAGTTTTGGATAGAGAATTAAATTCTGAGTTCAATGATATAATTATAATCAAAATTACGTTTAAGATGTTAGCCCTTCCCCTATAAATGTCTTTCGCGACAAAAAATTTATTTTGTGAACAGGAAACATAAAAAAATACATCTAAGCGGTTTTGGATAGGAAATTAAATTCTGAGTTCAATGATATAATTATATTCAAAATTACGTTTAAGATAATAGCCTTTCCTCTATAAATGTCTTTCACAACAAAAAATTTATTTTGTGAACCGCAAACCTAAAAAAATATATCTAAGCGGTTAAATTCTGAGTTTAATGATATAATTATATTTAAAATTACGTTTAAGATGTTAGCCTTTCCCATATAAATGTCTTTCGCGATAAAATATTTATTTTGTGAACCGGAAACGTAAAAAAATACATCTAAGCAGTTTTGGATAGAAAATTAAATTCTGAGTTCAATGATATAATTAGATTCAAAATTACGTTTAAGATGTTAGCCCTTCCCCTATAAATGTCTTTCGCGACAAAAATCTATTTTGTGAACCGGAAACGTAAAAAAATACATCTAAGCGGTTAAATTCTGAGTTTAATGATATAATTATATTCAAAATTACGTTTAAGATGTTAGCCTTTCCCATATAAATGTCTTTCGCGATAAAATATTTATTTTGTGAACCGTAAACGTAAAAAAATACATCTAAGCAGTTTTGGATAGAAAATTAAATTCTGAGTTCAATGATATAATTATATTCAAAATTACGTTTAAAATGTTAGCCCTTCCCCTATAAATGTCTTTCGCGACAAAAAATTTATTTTGTGAACCGGAAACGTAAAAAAATATATCTAAGCGGTTAAATTCTGAGTTTAATGATATAATTATATTCAAAATTACGTTTAAGATGTTAGCCTTTCCCATATAAATGTCTTTCGCGATAAAATATTTATTTTGTGAACCGGAAACGTAAAAAAATACATCTAAGCAGTTTGGGATAGAAAATTAAATTCTGAGTTCAATGATATAATTATATTCAAAATTACTTTTAAGATGTTAGCCCTTCCCCTATAAATGTCTTTCGCGACACAAAATTTATTTTGTGAACCGCAAACGTAAAAAAATATATCTAAGCGGTTAAATTCTGAGTTTAATGATATAATTATATTCAAAATTACGTTTAAGATGTTAGCCTTTCCCATATAAATGTCTTTCGCGATAAAATATTTATTTTGTGAACCGGAAACGTAAAAAAATACATCTAAGCAGTTTTGGATAGAAAATTAAATTCTGAGTTCAATGATATAATTTTATTCAAAATTACGTTTAAGATGTTAGCCTTTCTCCTATAAATGTCTTTCGCGACAAAAATCTATTTTGTGAACCGGAAACGTAAAAAAATACATCAAATAATGTATATATTAATTAAAATTGACACTCATTTAGACTCAAAAATAGCAATATCTAAATGACAATCCTCAAGATGTGTATTGATTTGATATTCCATACGTTAAAAAAGGAAATATAATTGAAAATAAATTTTAATATATAAAATATAAGAATATGATAATGGAAAAGTCATATTTTATTTGATAAAAAAAATCATCATATACTTCATATTTTTCCCTGATCGGCCTCTTTTTTAAATATGTTTTCTGATCGGCCTCATAAATTTACATTTTTTCAAGTTATGACCAGTCAGCCCCTGAATACTATACTATTATGCAAATTAAGATATGGAACAATATAATGTGAATAAAAATAATTCTGTTGATTTTTTCATCTTTTACTGTTAATATAGAAGGAGATAGTTCTGTAGAACTGATTTATCAATAAAATAATTTTTATAAAAAGTGGATATCTCACCCGACGATATAGCAATTTATGTCTTAGATTTCAGCTTGAGATTGACATTTATGAACATTTGCCTGAAAATATATTTCGATGTAAAAAAGTAAAATTATTAATTATTAGTTTATTTTATTGACCTCTTTGCAGAATATATTATATTGTGCTGTTTTTTTTCAAATTATAAGTATAATTTTATGTTGAGTAATAAATACAACAAACGTTTTCTATAATTAGAATATTTTAATAATAGTTTTTATGGATCTTGTTAGTAAAAGGACTCCAGATATATGGCTTAGAAAGAAGGAAAAAATAAGTGCCCAATTATTTGAACAAGGAGAAATCGACTTCAGAAATGTAAAAAAGGCCTAAAGATTTAAGATATTTACCTTATATACTAAAAATCGAAGGTATTAAGGTCTGAAGATCTATAGATGGTTTACCTTATTATAAAAAAATCGAGAATCTAAAAAATTAATAAATTAAATGAGACAAGGATCCAGTAAATATAGCCCATATTATTGGAGAATATTTGCATGAGTTTAAATTTAAATCTCGTTATAATATAAAATGTGTAATATAACATAAAATATATATTACTATTTTTGCTATGGAGTTTCAAAGTTCCCATTTAGTGAATAGAAATTTTAGTGAAAATGCACTTATTTATAAATACCAGAGATCTGCAGACCCGGCCCTAAGTCCCCCAGGCCGGGCCTTATTTTAATTTTTTAAATTTAAGCCCGAAAATTTTTTTAAAAAAAATAGCCGGGCCGGGTCGTATATTTTAAAACCAAATATTTGAAATCGCCATTATTAGCTGTAAAAACAAAAATTAATATAATATATTTTAAAAAATACCTCTGCAGGTCACTGATAAATACTAAAAAATCTGTATCCCTGAATAATAAATCACTCAATACACGATAAATTATATATAAATTTCAGTTTGTCTGATTAATCTAGAGTAATGTTTAGCACTAGCCTTTATATAAAATCCGCTATTAACTCATTCATTCTTATATTTTACACGTAAATTTTGAAAATGTCAAAGAAACCTTTGAAGAAATTAATTAGCAAAGTTATAAAATTAAATACACATTTTATTATCAATTATAAAATTAGTGGTCAATTGAGGATAAACCTGTAAAAATTGATAAATGGGATAATACTGCAGTAAAAAATTCCTTAGATGATATGGTTAAAAAAGTTAATAAATATTTTACTATTATTACTAATAATGGTTTAGATCATTTCTGAAAAATATGAAATGGAAGAATCATTTTCGATTGTAGACGGAAGATTAGTTATTTGTACTATTGCATGTATTGTTTCATTATTTGCATTAGTCTATGATTACATTCAACCATTCCCAAAATCGAGAACTGTTCTCATTATTTGCTCACTATCATATCCTTATATTTCCTTAATTATAAAATTATTTTTTGAATATTAGTTTTTAGATTAAAATCCTTAACTCATAATATTTTTATATGTAAACATATTTTTTTATGATGGCAGTTTTTACTCTCTACATAAAATATGTTGAAAAGGATATAATATTTGTTGGCCTGAGAAAGGATGAGTCTGGATTTGATAAGCCTCAAAAGTGGACTATAAGAACAAATCTTAAAAGGTTATATTACATCAAATAGTTAAGCTATGGTTTGAACATTTATTAAATAATAGATTTGATGACATATATGAAATTATTTATGAGTTTATTGATCCAAATACCAATAAAAGATGCAATTCAATGTTAAATAAATCTGTTGCCTCATGGATAAATGAAAATGGAGTGATTTTACCTAAATTATTAGAGAAAGATCTAACATACTTGCATGACAAAATCATAACAGATAAAAAATTAAACTGAATATATGATCTTAATTTATTATATTTGTGTATAATATACATAACATTTAATAATTCATAGTATTTGTCTTATATTTAATTTAATATTTCAATATACAATAAATTTGCCATGTTTTCTAAGAATTTAGTAAAGTATTTGATGTTACATTTATCTGACAACTTTATACTAAATTTTAGGCTTAGTCTGGATTTAAAAGGTTAAATTTCAATTTACCCCACAATTTTATTATTATGGATAATTTTTGTGTTATTTTGCAGATTGTTTTAAAAGGAAATGTCAAAATATGAACAATAAATTAATATACATTATATTTTTGCAAATGATTAATTAATATAATCAGGCGTGTATGCAGGAAATTGGTTTCGGGGGGGGGGGATAATATAATTTTTTAAGAAATTGTTTTTTAAAAATATCAAGCATAAATTTATTAGAACTAATAACTATTTCTAATACACAATTTTAAATTATTTGTGAATTATAAAAAAGTTTATGTATAAACCGTCTTATAAAAAACTATAAAATAAATGTGAATTAAAAAATATTAAACGGATATAACTGGCGGTATAAAAATAAATGTGAATTATAAAATATAAAGTAAATATAACCATTATATGAATCACTGACCCAAAATAGAAATTTGAATTTTTTGAGCCTTTAAAGTTTATATATATAAAAAATTAAATGTTGGAAATATAAATTAATACACAAAAAGTTTATAAGGAATAATTGTATTTTGTATGTTATATATTTACATGTAAAATCCAATCTTCATTGGGATTGAGCTAATATTTCAATTCCAGCCCCTGGGCTGGACCATATTTTAATTTTTTAAATATACCTGGGCCGAGCCCAAATTTTTTTTAAAAAAACACCTAGGCAGGGCGTGAAATTTTTTTTAAAAAATATCCTGGCTGGGTTGTATATTTTAAAACAGCATATATTTAAAATCGTTATTTAGCTATAAAATTCAAAAAAATATATAATTTATTTTAGCCGGGCCTGAAATTTTTTTAAAAAAACCCGAACTCGGTAGTAAAAAATTTTTTAAAAAAGTACGAGCTATATTGTGCAAATGTTACCTCTGTTGGGCTCTGTTATTCTTCTTTAAAAAAAGAATGTTCTATCATTAGTTTACTAATGGGAAGAGTTGCTAATATATTTAAACCCTTTTAATACTTGGGAATATAATCTAAACTATGTTTGAAATGCTAAGCATCGATAGCATTTTTTGGGACTATATCAACCATAGTTAATTTTATAAACATAGATATTCAGCCAATAAGGCATCATAAGATACTTTAACATTTTCATGTAAAAATCTAACAAATATTTTTTTTCTATCCATCTGAAAAAGGTTGGTAAGGCTTTTTGTGTACGTAATATCTGCAGATTGGTAAGTGCTGCATGATGAATTAAAAACTTTTCATTTTTATTTGGGTTATAAATATATCTAAGAGAGGGGACATTTGTTTTATAATACTCTTCTACTGATCTTATATTAATGTTTTAACGATGAGCTTGCCTTGATGCAAGTCGAGGGAGATAAATATTAAACATGTATAGCTCTGCTTTTGACTCAACAATAACATATAAAATATGAAATTCTTCATCAACATTAGCCATAATTTCCTTGAGTTCTAATAAAATGCTCTCCACTATTCTTATCTTATTAATCAAGTCAATGTCATGTATTTGAAAAGTATTAATAGTTGTATAATTAAATAAAACATTCTAATGAGGAAAAAAATTTGGAATAAGGATTGAATCCAATAATTTTCTTGCTTCTGAGGAAATATTTTTTTCATGCATTGTGATATTTCAGTAATAGCAAATAATCGGCTCTTCTAACTCCATAAAAGCTATTACTGCTTGATGGTGAAGACTATCTCTTTGGACAAGCTTGCAATTTCTTTCTCCCTGTTGGACAAGGAGTTTCAGAAATAAATATCATTTGACTAGAAATTTGAAAATGGTAGATAAATATTACACCACTAAAAAATTGAAAATTATAAGTAAATATGCCGGAAAACTTGAAATCGAAATTAATTGATAAAATAACTTAGTATATGAATGTGATAAATAAATGTAATTAAATATTTAATATGAGATAGGAATAAATATTAAAACAATATTTTTAAAAATATATCTGGCATTGCATTTTTTGGCTTTGGGGGAGATTTGTCCTGTCCCTCCCTGAATATAATTTTTAATTTCTTTTTCGGTCTATATTTTTTTAAATCTTAGGATTTTTAAAAGCATAAAATTTATTTTTCCAGGCTGGGCCTACAGATCTCTGGTATTTATCATGGACATGCATGCCATCAAAACCCAGCCTGGGTATATGGGACAACTTTAAGTTTATAATAAACATGTACTGGAAATAAAAATTATATCAATTAATTAGTAGCTTAAAAATCATATAATGTGGGGGAAGTGGTGTTTACTATTTGTTTGTTACTCATTATGCCCATTCAAATGAATTGCATAGCTTTATTATTCATATTTGTAAATAATAAAATTTACTATTTATACTCGATTATGATTCGTTTTTTAAGTGATATAAAATAATTGATAGGATTAACAGAATTTTTAAAATATTTTCATTAGTTCTAAACATAATAATAAAAAAACTTGTGATCAAGTTATTAACATTATTAAAATGCAAATTAATTTTTAGTTTTTCTTATCAATTTTTTGAGTTCCAACTAAACTAAGAAAAGCATTTTATGAGCAGTTGTTATAATAATCATATTACTTGTCAGAATGATATGTTATAAACATTGCCATGCTGAGACTTAGCGGCCTGTTAAAAAACAACAATTAACCTAAGCTTATTTGATAAACTTTCTAATGAGAAGTAAAAACATATATACTTTATTAAATTTTAATCATAAATGAGTAACAAACATTAAAAAATGAATATAATCATAAATTAAAATATTGCAATTTTATTTATCATCTTCACCTTTTTATTTGTAAAAGAAAATATTATGTCAGTATAATCTAATAATGAGGAAGTATTATTTTCTATTGAAATTAAAGGGAGATTAACAGGTTGGTCCTGTGCCTTACAGGATTCTAGTGAGTTTTAATTAATTTGAACTTTGACAAGCTGCGTTCTGCAGATACCAGGGTAATTGGAATTAGTATGCGCGGGCCTAATTTTTTATTAACCCACTAAAAAATTTTTGACCCGACCCGTCCGCTCACGAAAGGCAATATTTTGATTCACGCCCGAAAATTTACGGTGTTTCTAAATTTTTCAAAACTTTAATGCAATTTTTTACACTTTTTTGAATTTATTCTATTTATTTTCTTTAATTCCATAATCCATAATAACAAAAAATAAATATATATTATAAATCCAAATTTTTACTTAGAAAAAGAAGAATGTCTATTTTTTTTATTTTAATTGTGTACGCCTTTCCTCTAATAGGTGATTGGCTATAAAAAATAACCTTTCACTAGAAGCCGAATTTGCCAGGTTTGACAAAATTTTATTCTCTAATTTTCTCAAAATAATAAATAAATTTCCAAAACTTCAAAATATTGCCATTGTTATATGTTTTATGGGATGAATCTTTTAAATTCACACAGCTTTCATCGGTAGATGTTGATGCTTCATCAGAATCATCTAAAAATATGTCTCATTTAGAATATATGGTTTTTTATGAATTTAGGATGAATTAGGAAAGTTAATGACAGCTGGCATAGACCTATGCATATATATCATAAATTTTATATCATTTCACATTTTTAAGATTGTTTTATAAATAACTTCCTTTTCTTCGTCTATTAAAAACTTAGAGCTTTTGAAATTAGGATCTAGTATTAAGCCTACCTTATGTGCTTGAGAATAAATTTTAAAGTTTAAGTAAAAAATCTCGCGACAAAACACCTAAACATAAAAAGAAAATAGAACTAGGAGCGTGACACCAGATGTTGTTTATAAAATGCCGGAATATTTTTTGTTTTCAAAAATTTTTCTTTTTTAAAAAAGAACTAAATTAAATTAGAAAATATGTAATATAATTATAAAATTACAAATTTATGTTTAATTTCCGTGATTCACGGGAAATTTATGTTCACGCCCGGGAAAAATTTTGGGAAGGCCCGTCATGCCTAATAATTTAAAATTTATTCACACTCACGCCGTGACCCACCGTGACACGATAGGTCACGCGTAATTTCACGGCCCGCGCCCACCTCTAATTGGAATGGTTAAAATAATCCATAATACAATGGATATACTTCATTTAACATATTAGTGTTATTATAGCATAAAATTTCCCATGGCATTTTTATAGGATGCTTGCTTATTAATATATTCATAAATTTTAATTCAATTAGTAGATCTTGCAGATTAATATCTTTTTTTAATATATCCTAACTGTTAATAAAATATATAAATCACAACCTCTCGTGCACATTTATAATTCTGGTAAATTAATAGAATCCAAAATAAAATGCTTGAACTGCTGAAAAACTTCCTCCGACGAATTTCTCACTTGATTAATAATACATTAAAATATTCATTCACATATTTTTGAGGATTATGTATAGGCGTGTCATCACCTTTGTAAGAAAATTGTTTTTGAACCTTCCGTCTATAAATTAATGGTATTGAAGGAAAGCACTGCTCTTCTATACTCATTTTCAATTCCTGTGAAGCTTTTTCGCGGAATCAAGGGAATTCAAAACCATTTTTCTTAGGGTGATCTAAAAAATCTCATGTATTTTCTATAAGTGTGTTTCTAATTAAATATTGTCAATTTGCATGACCTTACTAAATTCATCTGGGATAATATATCAAACCAGATGACAATAATTTCCAAAATTGGGAATTGTTTAAATCTTAAGCCAATGAAATGGCTTCTTTGCAGCATTTGAGGCACTAGTTTTTTCGGATACGGTTGTTAGTGCTAGTATTGTTAATTTGCATGAATAAATAAAAAATATATTTCTTTTACTTTACTTTTATGTATATTTATTATTTTTTGTAAACGAATTTCTCCCCCACATAATTTCCGA